TACTAAACCAAAAGATCAGAGGTTTAAGTCCTCCAGCTGCTCCTTGGAAACTCAATAGAGGGTTGTTATAAGTTGAAACTGACTTGATGGCACTTAACAACAACAGATGTGGGGCAATGACTTAGAGACTAACTATAGAAAGAAAGAAAAAAAAAAAAGCACTAAAGAATGAATTTACAATGAACCGATAAAAAAAACTTGCTAAAAAAAAGCCCCCCAAAAATCCGTAAGACATCAGTAGCTCCCTGAATAAAATCAACCAAATTTCATCTGTTACATCTTGAATTGTATTTCTTCCTATTTTAAAGATGCAAGGTTATCAACGAATACCATCGTCTTTAAAATTCAAAATGTTTTAATTGAGAATTTGTCTGAAATTTACACTTCTATTACCCATGAAGAAAATAATTATTAAGCAAATTAACATGCAAATACAATTACAGTGGGAATGTTTACACTACTTAAGAAAATTGTTTTTAGTTATATCATTTGATATGCTTAAAAACAAGTAATTCCTATCACTATCAGATTACATTCTTTAAGGGCAGGGATCTTGTCTAAATCACCTTGGTACCCTCAGTATGCACTCAAACATTTAACATGCTTTATTATCTTATAATTAAAAGAAATTCCTCTGGAGCGTCTCCTAGGCAATGCTTATTTTGTATAGAGTTCACTGTTGTACCCACTTAAAATAAAACATATTTAAATAAGACATAGCTTAAAATTTTAACTGACTGGAGTGGGGAACACTATAGTTCCACAACCTGGAGTTCTTTCAACTTCCCCAACATGGCTTTGAGTCTCCCTTACGTATCTACATACTAATTTGGGGGTATGTCTTACTTTCCCTATTACACTCTGAAAGCTAAAATGGTGAGAATTCACAGCCCCAGAATACAGTGCATGAAGCCCTGCACTCAGACAGCACCTCACACTCATCTGAATCTACCTTCTCTCAGGGTAAATCTAGTTACCAGAAAGAACCTAAAGATATGCATTCTTGGGTCAAGGGAACTGAGTGAGTCCTTTTGCTGGTCCAAAGTGAATACTGCATGAGCATTTTTCTTGTGTTCATCAACTGGCTTGAATAGCAATTCCACTAATCTAAGGAGAGTTCAAAAACAATTAATGGCTGTATTGTATGAGGCACATGGAAAATATTCAATGTTTTTTAGAAATCATTTTAGATTTTAGTCTTCCAAGGTGAATAGTCAAAAAGCAATACAACTCACAAAAAGTTTTTATCATGAAATGAGTGAAAGTTTACAGGGTAGACTATTAAATTTACATTCAATAAACCATATTTTGCTTCATTGCAATGATTACAATCCCCTCCAAGTATGATCAGTCAACAGTGTTTACATCTACAGAAAATACACATTCTTTTAAATGTCCAAAGAGCACACTTTGCAAGATAGCCTCCTACCCCAAGGCACACAGCCTTTCTCAGTCTATGGGTCTAGAGTCCTCGGCTATTCTCTCTATGCCACCACCTCTGCTACTGTCTCTGCTGTCACGGCTTTTCTTATAGGATTTCACACTCCTCTCACGTTCTTCCCTCATATAGTCTTAGGGTCCTCTGTTCCCCCTTTTAGTTACACATCTTCTACTTTCACAGTTGTGATAATCAAAATTAGTCCTGATACCAATTACACACAACTGAATCATAAAATCCTATCCCCATCCTGGCCCATTCCCTTTCACCACAACCATATGGAAAATAGGAAAACTATTTGGTAGGGATTATATCTTACCCTCTCATTCTGAAACTAAGCACACTCATGAAAGCTTGTAAGCCAGCACTTCATGCCTTTATCACTCACGGTTTTGAATGCCAATGTCTAAGTTGCCTGTACCCATTAACCCAGTGCTCTGAAGAAACAAACTTATCCCATATGAAGAATCCTTCCCTTTTGGTTGGAATTTTGAGCAACCACAACCATAAGCAAAGGTCCAGATCATTGAACTATAACAATTTACACTTGCTCCTGTATCAAACTTCTTTATCTTCATGTGGTCGAGTTCTCATCAGCTAGCCATCCAAGCTATGTCAAATGGGTACTATCTGCAAATTTGGTTCTTGCACACCTCCCCCCACTTCAGATAAGCTGGCCACTTCACTCTCAGCTCTAGGCCCCAGTGGCTAGGTCAGTGTCCATGGGTTTGGGAGTTCACACACCGCCCTAAAAACTTCAGACCAGCCAGTCCTTCCTCTTCTCTCTTTTATCTCAAGGTCAGTGGATGTCTATGGAACATGGTCAAACTCAACCCATGTTTTCATTGCTACATTTCCCCGACTTCCACTTATAAGTAGACGAGGGTGATCACCAGCGAGCATACAAGATTGTTTGTGTGTTCCCTTTGAGTTTCAGACATAGAAGGGGGATTACCCTGTTGGGCTGACTTCTCTTGCCTTGATGGCTCCAAACCAAACAACTTAACTTACTATTCTAATAGTCAAACAGTCTGCTTTTTTCTGCTGGTCTTTCAAGAAATATATTGTGTTCCTTTAGCTGTTCCAGGTTGGTCTGCAAGTCTTTCCAAGTGGGAGTGTCTCAACTAAGAAAGTTCTGTGTAGGGCTCAGTTTTTCACCTAAGCCCCGTACTTCACAAAGGCCTAACAAGAAGCCTATTTACATGGGCAAGTTCTGAATGCTCTTTTAGCTAATCCAATCAATTACAGGCTGAAGACAGGATTACAGCTTTCTATGTTTCCCAAGATCCCTTTCTATCCCACTTTAATGTCTATTTAAAAATAGGGGAAACCAGTATCTACAAGACAGTTACGCACCTTAACATTATTTCCACTCCTTTACCCATTCCGACTATGTCTCCATCTCTGTATCACTGAGCCCTGTTGTTCAAAGGTTGTATAT